ATATAAGCATGTTAATAGATTAGCAACAAAGTTTCACCGTTTTATTGTTGATCTAGCCAGATGCAACCGTATGTTCTATTCGAATAGTTTCTTTTCTCGCACTTCTCACCTGCGGAAAGTACTTTCGTTTTTTTTTTGTTTGCTTCGCTGTCACCTACGATCCGCAAGAATTTAAATGCAACGCCAATCGCCATCCTATGTCTTCCTGAAATCTGTCCAGAAGAACGAGGAAAACAAAGAAGATTTTTTTTTAAATCACGTTAATAAAGGAAAAAGAAAAAATAAGAAAGAAAAGTTCAATAACAATAGAAATAAAAAAGGCAAAGAAATAAGAAAAAACAAAATACAAAAGAAGAAGAAGAAGAAGAAGAAGAAGAAGGAGGAGGAGAGGAGAAGGGGAGGAGAAGAAGGAGGATGGGGATGAGAAGGATGAGGAGGGAGAAGAAGAAGAAGGCGGAAAAGAGGGGGAGGAGAAAAAGGAGGAGGAGAAGATGAGGAGGTTGAAAATGAAGGATGAAGAGGTGGATAATAATAATAATAATAGAATTCTCCTATAGGGCCTAAGGACCATAGTTTGGACTTGGCTCTATAGGATACAAAGCAGGAAACACACACACACACACACACACACACACACACACACACACACACACACACACACACACACACACACACACACATAATAATAATAATAATAAACATTTTTGTTGTTTCTTTGTCGGGGTTGTATTTCCTTTGATGTTTATTTACGTACAACGAATGCTTCTTTGGTTTGAATCTAACCCACCGACTCACTGTCGCCTTATGGCGTGTACTTTCGACGTAGAGTACCAACAACCCGACGTGTTTCTACGAGGAAGTCTGAGAGCTGCTTTGCCGACAACGTTGCTTAACAGGACATAAGATGTCCACCTACAAGTCGCTCGCCTCGTTGGTCTTATTAGCCACAGGCCATTGTCTTTCGTTTGTTTTTTTAAATTTATTTATTTTTATTTTGCCTTCGATTTGTTGTTGCTTGAAAAGGTTTCAGATCCGCAACAATTCACGTTGCTTTCATCCGTGTGACTACTTAACTAAAGTTTACCGGATTCTACATCGGAGGTTAGGAAAATCAATAAAAATTCCTTGTTTCTTTTATTATTTTCGTTTTTTCTTCTCTTCTAGTCTTTCTTTCTTTCTTTCTTTCTTTCTTTCTTTCTTTTTTCTTTCTTTTTCTTTTTTTATTTTAATCGTTTTTTCTTTTACTTTCGTTTTTTTCTTTCTTTTTTTTATTTTTCTCTTTCTTTCTTTTCCTTTCTTTTTTCTTTTAGTCTCTTTCTTTCTTTCTTTCTTTCTTTCTTTCTTTATTTTAATCTCTTTCTTTCTTACTTTCTTTCTTTTACTTTCCTTTTTTCTTTCGTTTACTCTCCTTTCTTTCTTTTTCTTTTAGTCTCTTTCTTTCTTTCTTTCTTTCTTTCTTTCTTTCTTTCTTTCTTTCTATCTTTCTTTTCATTTTTAAATTATATTTTCTTCATTTCTTTTTTATTCCTTTCCTTTCTTTACCTTTTTTTTTTATCCTTTTTCATTTTCCTTCTTTCTTTGCACATTTTGGGTCATTCCTTCCTTATTTTTCTTACTGGATGAAGGGGTTTATGGAGGTGTGCGGAGGAAGTTTATGAGAATATGTAGGATAGACAACAGTGGACCACAGACTAAATTATATAATTAATGGATTTATTTAAGAAAAGGGTATTTTAGAAGAAACTGTTTGTGGAAATAGTTGTTTTACTGAATCAGCCATTTTTTTTGAAAGCATATCACCACAAGCAAGGCAGGAATTCCATTAGCACGCAAAAGATTACAGAGAGTGAAAACAAGAATAAAAAAGGGTGTTTGAAGAAAGGATAAAGAGAAGGACGGGATCAGAGGATGTCGATTGACATTACATTTGAATATTTGAAGATAATAGCTATCAGGGAAGTAAGTAAAAAGGAAGAGAGTTCCACTGTCGGGAAGTGCGAGAGGAGAAGTTGTTGAAGTAGAAGAGGCGGTTACATTTGACTGTTTTGGTTGGCAGTGAAAGGGTGGGACCGAGATACCAGCCTAGTAGCACGCTTAAATTCATGCAGTTTGGGTGCCAGTGAAAGTAGCTCATCAGAGAAGTTGTCATGAAAATATTTATAGAAAAGACAGAGGGAAGACACATCACGTGATGCCAGATCAGGACCTATCGCATATCCGTCTCTGGATGTTGTCGAGGACCTCAGCCTTAAGTATATAATTTTATGAAATCCAATTTTAGGAAAGCTTTTAAGCAAAACATAAGTCTCTGGATAAATTAAATCAACACAAATTTTATTTAAACTCTAACTGAAGATGAGTCGTAGGAGATGGGGAGCTTATGGTCTGCATCCGTAGAGAGATTGGGTGGTTCAACGGCAAACTTGCTTGAGGAAGTTCATTATATTTCAGAAAAAGTGGAGCCGTGTTAAGAAAGAAAAAAAAAAAAAAAAAAGAAAGAAGGCGAGTTATTAGAAAGAACAAAAAAAAGAAAGAAAGAAGGTGAGACATTAGAAAGAACAAAAGAAAGAAAGAAAGAAAGAAATAAGGCGAAATATTAGAAAGAACAAAAGAAAGAAAGAAAGAAAGAAAGAAAGAAAGAAGGCGAGATATTAGAAAGAACAAAAGAAAGAAAGAAAGAAAGAAAGAAGGCGAGATATTACAAAGAACAAAATAAAGAAAGAAAGAAGGCGAGATATTAGAAAGAACAAAAGAAAGAAAGAAAGAAAGAAAGAAGGCGAGATATTAGAAAGAATAAAAGAAAAAAAGAAAAAAAGAAAGAAGGCGAGATATTAGAAAGAACAAAAGAAAGAAAGAAAGAAAGAAAGAAAGAAGGCGAGATATTACAAAGAACAAAAGAAAGAAAGAAAAAGAAATTAGAAAAAAAGAACAAAAAGAAAGAAAGAAAAAAAGAACGAAGGCGAGATATTAGAAAGAACAAAAGAAAGAAAGAAAGAAAGAAGGCGAGATATTACAAAGAACAAAATAAAGAAAGAAAGAAAGAAGGCGAGATATTACAAAGAACAAAAGAAAGAAAGAAAAAAAGAAGGAAGGAGAGATATTAGAAAGAACAAAAAAGAAAGAAAGAAAAAGAAAGAAAGAAAGGCGAAAGAAGGCGAGATATTACAAAAAGAATAAAAAAGAAAGAAAGAAAGAAAGAATGAAGGCGAGATATTAGAAAGAACAAAAGAAAAAAAAGAAAGAAAGAAAGAAAGAAAGAAAGAACACAAAATAAAGAAAGAAAGAAGGCGAGATATTAAAAAGAAAAGAAAAAAAAAAGAAAGAAAGAAGGCGAGATATTAGAAAGAACAAAAGAAAGAAAGAAAAGAAAAGAAAGAAAGATATTAAAGAACAAAATAAAGAAAGAAGGACGAAAGATAAAAAGAAAGAAAGAAAAAAAGAAAGAAAGAAAGAAAGAAAGAAAGAAGGCGAGATATTACAAACAAAGAAAAAATAAAGAAACAAAAGAAGGAAAGAATATTAGAAAAAGAAAAAGAAAAAAAAGAAAGAAAGAAAAGAAAGAAAAAAAAAGAAAGAAAGAAAGAAAGAAGGCGAGATATTAGAAAGAACAAAAGAAAAGAAAGAAAGAAAGAAAAAGGAAAGAATTAGAGAAAGAACAAAAGAAAAAAAAATAAAAAGAAAGAAAAGAAGGCGAGATATTACAAAGAACAAAATAAAGAAAGAAAGAAGGCGAGATATTAGAAAGAAGAAAAGAAAGAAAGAAAGAAAGAACGAAGGCGAGATATTAGAAAGAACAAAAGAAAGAAAGAAAGAATGCGAGATATTAGAAAGAACAAAAGAAAGAAAGAAAGAAAGAAAGAAAGAAGGCGAGATATTACAAAGAACAAAAGAAAGAAAGAAAGAAAGAAGGAAGGCGAGATATTAGAAAGAACAAAAGAAAGAAAGAAAGAAAGAAGGAAGGCGAGATATTAGAAAGAACAAAAGAAAGAAAAGAAAAGATATTAAAAAAAAAAAAATAGAAGAAAAAAGAAAAAAGAAAGAAAGAAAGAAAGAAAGAAAGAAGGAAGGCGAGATATTAGAAAGAACAAAAGAAAGAAAGAAAGAAAGTAAGAAAGAAGGAAGGCGAGATATTAGAAAGAACAAAAGAAAGAAAGAAAGAAAGAAGGAAGGCGAGATATTAGAAAAAAGAAAAAGAAAAGAAAGAAGGAAGGCGAGATATTAGAAAGAAAAAGAAAAGAAAGAAAAGAACAAAAAGTAAGAAAAAAGAAGGAAGGCGAGATATTAGAAAGAACAAAAGAAAGAAAGAAAGAAAGAAAGAAAGAAAAAAGGCGAGATATTAGAAAGAACAAAAGAAAGAAAGAAAGAAGGCGAGATATTAGAAAGAACAGAAGAAAGAAAGAAAGAAAGAAAGACAGAAGGCGAGATATTACAAAGAACAAAATAAAGAAAGAAAGAAGGCGAGATATTAGAAAGAAAGAAAGAAAGAAAGAAAGAAAGAAAGAAGGCAAGATATTACAAAGAACAAAAGAAAGAAAGAAGAAAAAAAGTGACGAAAAAAAGGGCTGATAAAAATAAAAAAGAAAAGATTTAAGGAAAAGAATGAAAGAAAGAAGGGAAGAAAAAAAAGAAATATTGGGAAAAGAAAGAAAAAAGAAAGAAAGAGAAAAGAAAGAAAGAAGGGAAACGAGACAAAAAGCAATGAAAATAGAAAATAAAGAAAGATATGGAAGATTTAATATTGCTTGTGTGTTTTTGATTAGTGGCATATCAACCTCTATGGGTTATTTAATGTCAAACTCTAATTTATTCTGTATGCAATTTTATTTTTATTTTTGGAGTCTTACTAATTGATACGAGTCTTACTAATTAACCCATAGGTGGGGAGAAGTGTATTCATAAAGTTCCCAGGGGTATTTGCCCATAACGAATCCAACTGGAATTCGGCTCTCCGATTAACAATTCCGACCCATTATCCATTAAGCTACTAGTATATTCCAGCTTGTAGCCTCTGGTATTCCCAAGCGGTCACCCATCTAGGTATTGAGCACGCTCGACGTTGCTTAACTTCGGTGATCGTATTTGAAAAGGTGTTTCAATGTGATGTGGCCGTAAGCCGAGAGAGAGAGAGATAGATAGATAGATAGATAGATAGATAGATAGATAGATAGATCTTTGAGGATTCCCAACATTTTTATTTCTGTATTTTTTTCCAAATTTTATATAATTTTTTTTCTTTCTTTCTTTCTTTCTTTCTTTCTTTCTTTCTTTCTTTCTTTCTTTCTTTCCCACTCACTCTTTCTTTTCTTCTTTCTTTCTTTTCCATTTATTCCTTCTTTTCTTTTTTCTTTCTTTCTTTCTTTCTTTCTTACTAATTCTTTCTTTTCTTTTCTTTCTTTCTTTCTTTCTTTCTTTCTTTTCAACATTTATATCCCATTCTTTTGATAGCGATCGAAGTTTCTTCATATTCTTTGATGATTTAAATCATAATTATCTCCATGTCATCGTCATATCAATGTAACTCAATATCATACTCATTTCCATGATCACGTGATATCATAATATCAGTGTATTGAGACGTCATCATCATTATTCATGTAAAGAGACGTCATAATAACGTTCTTACAACAGGACGTCAAAGTAGCTTCCTTCCATCCGGGGAGACGTCATAGTCATGTCAAATCAGGATTTATCCATGCGTAGATCGTCTTTTCGTTTAATTCACTGAATTTAACTTATGTAGAGTGTGGATGGTCATTGGCATCTTTATCTTTACCCCCCCCCAATTTATTTTCAGTTTATTCCCCTTCCCCTCCCCATTTAGGTGACAGGGATTGCATTTCTTTGGTGAATGTGGGATGTCTTTCGTTTCGAGCGTAATTTTAATAACACCACAGTATTTTTCATCCAGTTAACTGTCATGATTAAACTGTGGGTGTTTCCCTTACTAACATTATTTTGTTTAATTGTGTGAATATTGTTACATCATAAACATTAGGATCTTATCAACCCAGCCCTCCAGAAAGGCGCTATGTATGGGGTGAAGATTTGTAGACCAAATGTAGTATTATAGTGTCTGCGCAAAGCAGTGTTGTGTAGATGAGATGTTTTGGTGAAAGGAACAATATACGAACGACTGGATCAGTGATTCTGACAAGCTAATTTATCGATAGTGACAAGCCTCCCCATTCACCATTTTGCACTTGTGGCGTATTTTTATATTTATGCAATAAATATCTGACCCAAGGTCGACTTCAAAGAGGGAGTTACACGTATGCATAGTACCGGATCGTATACGAAGATAGATTAAGCAGTAAAAAACGTTTTCTGACAATGCTATGATCACGTATTCGATATATTTTCATAGTTAGGGTCCCTTAGTATATCAAATGACCTGACTTTACATGAGGAAGTTCTCAATTTGATATTAAAATCTGAATTAAAATCTGAATTAAAAGTTCTTTGAATTTTCAATTTGCAACAGAATTCCCCAAATCTGAACATAGCATAATCTAGACTGATATTTATTCGTACAAAAAGTACAAATTGTGGCACGAGGCCAATAAAGGGGAGGGGTAGAGGCTGGTCAACACTAACTATCTTATACCTAGCTAATCAGATTCGCGACCCATTCGTACATTACATTTTACTCATTCGCCAAAAGAACTCGTCCATCACCAAACAATCCTTCAACCAACATAATATCACGTGCTCTCAAGGGAGACCTACCAAAATCGCGCACCATGCCATAACAATTTTAATGATGATATATATACAATTCTAATAATGATAAAATGAGAGGGGAGGGAAATGAACCCAATAATAAACTTAAAATAAACACAAATAAAAACTAAACATAATTGATGTTAGTAGGGACCGTCCAACCCATAAAACAGAGAGACCGCTGTATTCTGCCCAGGGGACAAAATCAAGAGACGCTCTCGCTATGGGAGTGGGAAAAAGTATAAAATAATCTAGACTTCCTCGATTTTGGACTCATCTTCGTACTCTTTTGGGGTCTTTATTACTTATCAAGGAATGTGTCCCATTTATTCCAAATTAGCTTCTTTTTTTTTGTTTTGTTTATACAGGTTATTTGCATATCTTCTTTGAGTTGTTCTAGCATATATTGAAATAAATTCTTAATACTCAAAATCCTATATCGCCCAACAGTTTCTTTTGCTCATCGGCCGCCAGTGGTTGATATCGCCCAGGTTGAAAAATCCTACTTTGATCTACTGTCGAAGTTTTCTTATTCAAGTAGCTGCAGTAACTTTTAAACAATAATATATACAAATAAATATAACATTTGCATTAGTACATTAGCCATTCAAGAAACTTGTCACTTGTGATATTATCAAACAATATGATATTTCTTCATAATTGTCTTTCTTGATTTGTTGGTTGAAGACACTAAAGGGAGGTAACAAATAACACTGATTTATGTAACGGCTGCTGTTGCTACTATAAAGAAAAAATGGAAGCAAACTTGATCATTGAAAACTTAGTTTTAGGGTTAGCGTTGTAAGTATTAACAAAACAATAAACAATTTTTTTCATAATTATAAAATTAAAAACAATATAGACTACTTAGCTACTAACAACTAATAAAAATTAAACGACTATTTACTTTTTTTGTTTGCTTTTGGGGTTTTTTTTTTGTTTTTTTTTTTGTTTTTCCTTATCTGATTCATATCCAAAAATGGTATTTCTTCTGAAGAACTATTTGAATTTTAATGATCCTTCTGGAAAAAAAAAACTATAAGAAATACGAAAATATTCGTTTGCGGAGATTTTTATATCTTATTTAGGAATATGACCCATTTATTCTCATTTAGCCTCCTGCTTTTTATTTTCTTTTTTTTTATACAATTTCTTTGAATATCTTATTTAAATAGTTTTTTTTTCGGGGTAGCATATATTGAAATATCTTTTCTAATACACAAATGCCTATATCGCTTACCAAAATCTCTAATCGCTCACTATTTTCTGTTCATCGATCGCCCAACAGTTCAAATCACTCACCGGCGGGCGATACCGCTCAGGTTGGTAAACCGTGACCTAGTCGAAATCGCCTACAGATGGCCGATATCGCCGAAATTTGAAAACCCTGCTTTAGCCAAATAAAATTATTGGCAATAAACTTTTCCAGTGATTGTTCTTCCATATTCTGGAAGCTCATAATGGACGACACCTTTCATATTCCACCACACCATTTTTCATATTCCACCCGACGAATTTTCCTACCGATAATCCTTGGTTCTACTAGATACCTTCCGAAACGATGATAACTACATTCCATAAATCTTAACGTAAAACAAACGGCATATAGTACGGATTTGACACTACCCTTTGTGAGCAGTACTCTTTTGTGAGCCACTGCACAAATACCGCTCAGGTTGGTAAACCGTGACCTAGTTCTTTAAAGATTAGAATTAAAACTACTGGCTTTTAACTTGATTCAGACCCTGACCCCTTGACGCCTATTGGAAATATGGAACTATCTTTTGCTCGTCACATAGATTGTAACGACAAAGCCTATCGAGGGAAAGCCACCCACAGTGAATGACTGAAACCAACGGAAAGTAATTGAGAAAAAAACTTAGCTTTCGTCAGATATCCATTTATAAGTGGATCGTGTTTATTCAGCCAGATGTAAATATTTATGTAAACGGTGACCTTTTTTATGAAGTTTTTATCTTTAAATTACCTACGGTTGTGTGTTGTGGATACAAGAGCTCGGATTTCGATCTCTTGTTCAAAACATCTGAAATGTCTGGAGAATGGCGACTCAAAAATATCAATATCATATTAACTCACGGTTATTGGGATAAAAAATGTGATGAAGAATAGATTCATATCATAGAAACAGACTTAGTGTATATAATCGGGAATTGAATTCAGGTATACTCCGAATCCAGACTGTTTTTGCATGAATTTTAACCCATTCACCCGGTCACCGAAAATGCATGATTTGTAACCACATCAAAAAAATTACCTGTGTATAATGTATAAATTACGCGAATATTTATTTGTTGTTCTTGGTTTTCCTTTATCTGATTCATATCCGAAAAAAATGGTATTTCTTCTGAAGAACTATTTGAATGTTAATAGTCCTTCTGAAGAACTATAAAAAATACCAAAATATTCATTGTTTTTTTTGGGGGGGGGTCTTTATTACTTATCAAGGAATGTGACCCAGTTACTCCAAATTAGCCTCCTGTTTTTTTTGTTTTGTTTTGCTTATAAAGGTTCTTTGCATATCTCCTTTAAATATTTGTGGGCGTCTCAAAAATATTAATATAATATACACTCGTGGTTATTAGAATAAAAAAAAAACTGATAAAGAATAGAGTTTCGTATTATAGAACCAGACTTAGTTACTGTATATAATCGTGTAAAGTCGACTCCATGTATAAAAAAAAAAAAAAATTACCTGTTTAAAATGCATGACATTCAAAAAAAAAAAAAAAAAAAAAAAAATTACCTGTTTATAGTGCGACATTCCAAATTCAAGCGTAAAAACTGAGCATAAAACCCGGATATATACGGTAAGTCCCCCCCACTCAAAAAATTTAAAAAGGTCCACGCGAATATCTTTATCGAATCAGTCGCTTAAAACTTTTTTCCAGACTGTAGCTGAGATGTGGCACAAGGCCAAAAGCATGGGCCACTCAGTGAGGATCGAACTCACTGATCGTAAATGCCCTCTCGTGACAAGCTTGCTAACCATTGCACCACATAAAAGCACCCACGATGGCAATCTAATCGTAGCTCAGATGTTGCACAAGGCTGAAAGTATGGGGCAGCCAGTGAGGATCGAACTCCTTATTTAGTCGTAATTGACCTAGCGATAGTGATTTTCAAAGCGTAGCTCAGATTTGGCAAAAGGCTGAAAGTATGGGGCACCCAGTGAGGATCGAACTTACTATTTAGTCGTAATTGACCTATCGATAGTGATTTTCCAAGCGTAGCTTAGATATGGCACAAGGCCGAAAGTATGGGGCACCCAGTGAGGATCGAACTCACTGTTCAGTCGTTATTGACCTAGCGATAGTGATTTTCCAAGCGTAGCTCAGATGTGGCACAAGGCCGAAAGTATGGGGCACCCAGTG